CGTTTTTTTTTTTTTAAAAAACAGTGTAATTCACTAAGAAATGCTCTTTAATATAACGCATGTGTTATATTTCCGAATTATGTGGTGATTACTACATGAAACCATGCGGTAAGTTGTTGCAACCATATCACATAAATTTTAACTACACTAAACAGATTTGGGATTCCAGCAATCCGATAAAAAACATTTCCCACTCCTGATGAGATTCCAAAAAGTTAATATATTTGGGTGCTATTACACAGAAACCGTACAATATATTGGTATGGAGATGGGGAAATGATGTCTGAAAAATTCCCACTATCTCATCAGCTACCATTTTAAAGTATGCTTTCTCAAAAAATGTAATACAGCCAACAATTTAGTCATGGCTAGTATGGCATGACTTTGCTGGGTTGAGGTCCCAAGGTAGGTTATGAGTTGGGCATATAGCTCCATAATTAGTGCCTTGGATAACCAAACCCTTTGGAGGGTATCAGCAGCTGTTCAGCATACATTCCAGAAGGTTGCATTCAAAGGGTTCCATTGTCTGTGTTATTCAGTCTGCCAGCCTCCAGAGACAACTCCTGAGTGTATTCTAGCTTCCACCTGGTCCAGCTAGTACCTTCCCACCTATCTTTTAAACCAATCCCTGACCTCCTAAACCGGGTCTGACAATACCCATACTTATTGCAAGCCTGGAACACTACTTAATTACCACATTTATTTATTTTTTTCCTTCCTAGAATTGACTTTAATGACAGAGTGGCTCAGTCATGGGGGTCATTTGACCCAATGCGTAATCAAAGGGGGAACAGAACTTTCACCAAGATGCAACAATAGAAAGGTTTGGAGGTTGAAAACCTATTTGCAGGCAGACCAAACAAGGTACCAATAACTCAAACAAGCAGATGGCTGGGGCAATCAACAGATAAAAAGGTAAGAAGATGCACTAGAGGTCAGGATATGTAAGAGGCTGGGTTCAATTACTGTCTAAACCCTTTACTGAAAGCAATCAAAAATGCAAAATAGGCAGACAGAAAGAATCTTTCTTTGCAGGATGAATGTTGTGATCTAAATTTAAGCGCCATCAATAAGGCCAGCTGTGTAACTCCAGCTTGGGCACGTAGGTGTGCTTATAGCAGATGACAGATATGAGCATGTAGGTCCAAAAAATCTAAACCTCCCTATGCAACCACAGATGGACCACTACAGGTAATGCTGATAAAGCTGTAAATAAAAAATTTAAAAAAGATAGACAAGAGTAATTTTATTAATGTTTCCACAGCAGAGAAAAATAATTTTTGGCACAATTTACATTTGGGCTTTTGAGTGCATCAGAACCACTTTTCTCCCCAAATAGGTCAATGGTAAAAAAAAAAAGTAGCACGAAGATGCTTGATTAATTTTAAAAGGAGGTCAAATACAGGTCAGAATGTAGTCAAATACAAGTCAGAAGGTGGCCAAATGCAGTTCAGAATGTGGCCAAATACAGGTCAGAAGGAGGTCAAATATAGGTCAGAAGGTAGCCAAATGCAGGTCAGAATGTGGTCAAATACAGGTCAGAATGTGGTCAAATACAGGTGAGAAGGAGGTCAAATACAGGTCAGAAGGTGACCAAATGCAGGTCAGAAGGAGGTCAAATACAGGTCAGAATGTGATTAAATACAGGTCAGAAGGTGGCCAAATGCAGGTTAGAAGGAGGTCAAAGGCAGGTCAGAAGGTGGATCAAATAAAGGTCAGAAGGTGGCCAAAGGCAGGTCAGAAAGGTGATCAAATACAGATCAGAAGGTGGTCAAATGCAGGTACAGATCAGAAGGTGGTCAAATGCAGGTCAGAAGGAGGTCAAATACAGGTCAGAAGGTTGTCAAATACAGGTCAGAAGGAGGTCAAATGCAGGTCAGAAGGTGGCCAAATGCAGGTCAGAATGTGATCAAATAAAGGTCAGAAGCTGGTGAAATACAAGTCAGAATGAAGGTGGTCAAATACAGGTCAGAAGGTGGTCAAATACAGGTCAGATGGTGGCCAAATGCAGTTCAGAGTGTGGTCAAATACAGGTCAGAAGGAGGTCAAATATAGGTCAGAAGGTGGTCAAATACAGGTGAGAAGGAGGTCAAATACAGTTCAGAAGGTGGCCAAATGCAGGTCAGAAGGAGGTCAAATATAGGTCAGAATGTGGTCAAATACAGGTCAGAAGGAGGTCAAATACAGGTCAGAAGGTGGCCAAAAAACAGATCAGTAGGTGATCAAATACAGGTCAGAAGGTGTTGAAATACAAGGCAGAACGAAGGTGGTCAAATACAGGTCAGAAGGTGGTCAAATACAGGTCAGAAGCACATGTGAACGAACATAGATGGAACTTTGAGTATCTTAACCTAATCACAAATGCAAACTGCATTGCACTGCACTGTTTGTGCCCATCAACACAATCCTTCATACATATGTTTGCAGAATGCAGGGCAACATTTTTCACATTATTTTTAAGCTAAAAAAACTGTGAAAAATACTTCCCCGTTAAATTGTTTTCCAAATGCATGTTCCACAGATCGCCGAGAGTTGCTAAACCTTCTACATTAAGTTTTAAAATTATGATGATTAGGCTGTCGTGTGTACATATATGTGAATTTAAACATGCTGTAATCATCTTGCTGTCTTCATTATGTAAATTTTGGCTGCTATGACTTAATTAGAAAGTAGAAGCCAATTGCACTGACACATGGGAAGAGCTGCAGTAGTAGGTTGTATCAGGAACTCTGCAACTTTCTAATATTAGAAGGTGATGTGACAGATATGTAATTAACATCACATCAAATTAGTGTACAGAGATAAGTGTGGCTGTGACACTGAGAGGAGAACCCATTTTATAATTGCATTTTGTAAAAAGTTAGGTAAAAGTTTGCTAAAGTTTTAAGTATTCTATGCAATAAATAATTTTTTATTCTAAATTGTCTATTTTATGCTCTTCCAACCAGCATTTGCAATAGATTTGCATGGACAGAAAGCTGCTATCTAACCTGCTAAAACAGGATGTGTTCTAATATTTATTAATATGATTATTTTTGTGGTCTGTCTTTACAAAAAATAAATTGTGTCGCCCGGTGTTCTTAAAGTATGAACAAAATATTAAGCACATACTGTACATGCTATGTATTTGTAAGTGCAACACTCCCATGTATTCTTTACCTCTCACAGTTATCACACTATTCCCTGTGACATTGCATTCATCTGCTTTTCTCTCCAGAAGGACGCATCCATCTTTGTTAAGCATCATCATGTGGGCAGCACAGTTGCTAAGTGGTTAGCACTCCCACCTAGCAGCATTAGTGTTGTTGGTTCAAATCCCAACCACAGCACTACCTACCTGGAGGTGTGTTTACTCACACACTACAAACACATGCTGGTAGGTTAATTTGTCCTGTCTAAATTGGCCCTGCTATTGATGTATGAATGTGAGTTAGGAACATCAGTTTATATGCTCCTTGATGTGTAATAAAATATGTAAAGCGCAGCTATACAAGTACCTGTAATAAATAAATCATCCACTTCAGGCATGCTCAACCTGTGACCTGCAGGCCAAATGTGGCCCATGACCACAAACCTATGACAACCTTCACAACCTCCTTCAGATGCACACTACTGCATGATTGCTGGTCCTCCATAATCCCGAAGGCTGTCATACACAAGCTGCTATTGCGGCCATCTTTCCACTCTGCTCTTTTCTTCCTAACACACAAACATGGGAAGAAGAGCCTTTAGCCGAGTAGATTACATCTAGTGGCATCTATACAGGGGTACTGGAGGTGGATTCTCTCAGTTGTGTGATGAGCTTGGTGTCATTCCAGGAGCCATTTTATCTTTTCTTAATAAATAAGATTATTGCACTACTAGGACATGCACTTCCGTGGCCTCTGCAGTTTACACATGTATTTGCAAATGTGTGAAAATGAAACCCATTTTTAACGTGAACTTTCAGACAGGACAATTCAATTTGTTGCAGACTAGTTGGTAAGTTGAGCTGGAAACTTTTCTTTATTGTTGTTTGACATGTGTCACCCTTCTACGTGCTCCTTGCTGCAAAGGCCAGTTATATGTTGGGGCAGTTGCCATTTGTTTGTATCGTTGGTTATTTGGTGAGGGGGTGCACTGGACCCCTTACCTGCCATTGTGCTATTTGCTGGGTGTCCAGTTCGTTCCTCTGATTTTAAGGACTGGTTTGGAGCTTTTTTGGCTGGTTGAACCTAAGTGTGAGAGTGGGAATAATGGCGACCTGGTTAATAAAAAAAAAACGATTTTTGTGATTGTGATTAAACAGTGGGTAAACATCCAATGGTGATTGGTCCCACAGAAAATATTGATCCTGATTGTTGTTTAAAATCTTCCTTTTCTTTCCTTTGTAGACAACCAAAATATTCGTCACAGAAAAGACCAAGGGGAAAACACCTCAGAATGGCTAGTTCCCAACGTAAATGCCATACTGCATTCTTGTGAAAGTATTTACTCTTGTCCAACCAAACATACTTCACATTTGTTCATCAAACTGTGCATAACTTTGGATTCTTATGTAGTTGAAGGATGCATTCACCAAAAAAAATGCAGGAAGGATGCGATTGTTAAAACCAGAGAAGTTTATGGTAAACAATAATTGGTATTTTTACATGTCAAATGTAAAGTGAATTACTCAACAACTTAAAAGCATCTTTGTGTTTTTAATGGTGCCCCAAAAACAACATTGTCCCAGAAGCTATAAAAGCCTCAACTCTTCTGGGAAGGCTGTCCTCAAGGTTTAGGAGTGTGTCTATAGGAATGTTTGACCATTTTTCCAGAAGTGCATTTGTGAGGTCAGACACTGATGTCAGATGGGAAGGCCTGGCTCGCAGTCTCCATTCTGATTCATCCCAAAGGTGTTCTATTGGGTTGAATTCAGGACTCTCTGCAGGCCAGTCAAGTTCCTCCACCCCAAACTGGCTCATCCATGTCTTTACGGACCTTTCTTTGTGCGCTGGCGCGCAGTCATGTTGGAACAGGAAGGGGCCATCCCCAAACAGTTCCCACAAAGTTGGGAGCATGAAATTGTCCAAAATGTCTTGGTATGATGATGCCTCAAGCGATCCCTGTACTGGAATGAAGGGGCCAAGGCCAACCCCTTAAAAACAACCCCACACCTATAATCCCCCCTCCACCAAATTTTACACTTAGCACAATGCAGTCAGGCAAGTACCATTCTCCTGGCAACCGCCAAACCAAGACACATCCATTGGATTGCCAGACAGAGAAGTGTGACTCCTCACTCCAGAGAACACGTCTCCACTGCTCTAGCGTCCAGTGGCAGCATGCTTTACACCACTACATACATTTTATTTATTTGAAGCCATGGTTGGAACTCTAAAAGTTGCCAAACATAAGAAGTACATAGCACTTGGTGATGAAAGGTTTGGATGCAGCTGCTCACCAATGGAAACCCATTCCATGAAGCTCTCTATGCACTGTTATTGTGCTAATTTGAAGGCCACATGAAGTTTGAAGGTCTTTAGCTACTGACTCTGTAGACAGTTGGGGTTTATTTACTAAAGCTGGAGAGTCCAAAATCAGACTCCCTTCTGCATAGAAACCAATCAGCTTCCAGGTTTTATTGCCAAAGCTTCATTGAACAAGCTGAGGTTAGAAGCTGATTGGTTTCTATGCAGAAGGGAGTCTGATTTTGGACTCTCCAGCTTTAGTAAATAAACCCCTTGGTGACTTCTGCACACTGTGCGCTTCAGCATGCACTGAGCCCACTCTGTCATTTTACATGGCCTACCACTTCGTGGCTGAGTTGCTGTTGTTCTCAGTTGATTCCACTTTGTTATAATACCACTAACAGTTAACCGTGGAATATTTAGTAGCCAGGAAATTTCACGGATGGACTTACTGCACAGGTGTCAACCTATCGCGGTACCACGCTTGAATTCACTGAGCTTCTGAAAGCGACCAATTCTTTCGCAAATGTTTGTAAAAGCAGTCTGCATGCCTAGGTGCTTGATTTTATATACCTGTGGTCATGGGGGTGATAGGAACACCTGAATCCAATGATTTGGGTGGCTGTCCCAATACATTTGGCAATATAGTGTATGTCCAAGTAAGGGCTCAGAGCTTTAACAGAAGCTGCTGAAACAGTCATCTTGTGTTGAAGTAAGTGGGTTGCAAACAGCTAGGGAAGACTTCCTGTGTTCCTTTGTAACAACCACAGCCTTTTTACCAAAAACAGAGTAAACTACATGGTAATTTACAGAGTGAGAGTTGATGCATACCTTGAAAAATAGCTGTGTATGAAGCGCTGTCAGACTTGATGGCCATACTCATCATGATGTGATTCAGGGATTGGTGGAATAGGGTCCTCATCAGTGTCTTGAATACAGGCGCAATCCTGCATGATGGGTTAAGTTATAAAGGACACAGCAGGCCAAAAACATGTCACCAATTTTTTCAGGGCTATAGTGCAGAAAACCACCAGATAGCAAGATACAGCAGAACCTGCTTTTAAGAGCCCCAAAGTTCTGCTCAATGACACATCTTGTCTTAGTAATTACTTGTCAAGGTCCTACCTTTTCCCAGAGACTGTGCGACTTCATGTACTGGCGTCCATCTTGGGTTTCTGCAGAGCATGGTGGGAGTCTTTTATGCCTTCAGGTCTCTGAGGTCCATCCCCCAGAGGGGTGTGGCTGAGTACATATAAGCCTGTGATCCGCACATGCTCTTTGCACTTGTGTCTTGTGTCTTTGTGTTGCTACAGCTCTGTGTATACTCTCGTGACTCTTCTGGCATCTGACTCGGCTTGTGACTAGACCATTCTCTGTGTTTTCCTTTGATCTGACCTTCCGTTGCTGAACCCGGCCCGTGACCTGTGATTCTTGTCTACTGTTCTGTACCGTTTTGTCCCGTTGTTGTCGACCCGGCCTGCCTGACTACGCTATTGTCATTCCTACCAGCTACACGCCATTGGCGGCGGCCATTACCGCAGCTGGGGTGTCTCGGGGGCCGCGACCTGGTTCCTGGCTGCGTCAAGTCCATCCCCACCATCAGGGGCCCTGGTGAAGGGCAGCCTGGGACTTAGACTCCGCGCCCTGAGGGACTTCGGTCTGTCGGTGGTGGATGTCGTCAGTCAGTGCGTTACCCTGCCACTAGGCCTACCTGTCCGTTCCACAGCCCTGCCCTGACATTACTGCATTGTAGCAAGACTCTGCAGAGGTTCAGCACCTCAAGAGTGGTGGTGCAGTCAGGGCAGACAAGTATAGCCAGAATCACCTTCAATACAGTTTTAAAATGCCATTTTATAGAACAACAATAGTATTTCGTAATGAGTGGGTAGTAACAGGAACATTTCTTCCCTACATTTTGAATTCCATTGCTGAACATGATTGTAATGTTAAGGCCTTAGGCCATAGGTAAAGTTTCTTAGATGAATACGGTTACACCAGGATGAGGATCTGGTTTAGCCATTTCTTTAACAGGCAAGACTAACAATCTGCTGTGTATATCTTGTGTGCAAGGTGTGAACACAGGTGTAAGGGATTTCCGGCAAGACAAATCACGATCGGAAATGTGCATGTGCATAGGAATTCCCGCAGGAGAATTGCCGGTTGTGCGCATGTGCGCAGAAATGCGTGATCACGCACACACACGGCGAAGATTGGCGCCAGACAGCCTATTTAAGGAGTGTCTCTGCTCATGTTCAGTGCTGACTGGTCTTCAGCTCCCCCGTGTCCTGCTTGTTCCTGTGTGATTCCTTTGTTGCTGACCCGGATTTTCCTCACCTGACTCTGATTGCTCTTCTGATTGATACTGGTTCCTGACTTCGGCTCTGCTCCTGACCTTGGCTTTTCCTTCTGATTCTGCACCGCGCTGCCCGACTGTTGATAACCCTGGCTATTCCTATGACACTGCTCCTGTCTCTTGTCCTCACTACCTGCCTTGCTCTGGTGTGCGCCTGGCAATCTACAAGACCTGCTCTGCCTACTACTACTGTGCCAAAATCAGAGGATCATCAGCCTTCCAAGGTCATCATCTGTAAGAGCTGCAAACAACAACTACTGGCGCTCTTGTTCCCCTGGGTCCCAGGCTCCCTCTGTTCCAACTCCAGCGGGGTCAGGGCTAGTGACACAAGTGAGGCCGACCTCGTCATTTCAGTCTCCCATCAGGTACGTGACAACAGGAGTGTAACATATAAACATATGATGTATGTGGCATGCATTGAGACATAATTGATAGTAAAAAGTGCATTACCAAGGAGACAGCCTCCAGTTATTCTGTTAATGTCAAAATGGTGGTAGAGCTTTGATTGCTTTAATATGTGGGCACCATGGACAGATCCTGGGAAGTCAGTGACCAGAGGGGGCAAAAAAAGTTACATGGGTACAGTCTATGACACCCATGATGTTGGGGATCCCAGTTACCACATAGAAATAATTTTTAATCTGATCCCACTTCTGATGTGTGTTAGGTAGGTAGATATATTTGGGGGCAAACCTTGCAGGACCTTAGCAAGCAAACGTGAGAAAGATGACTGGGTCATATGGCCTGACTACGCAGTGTGGTGGACTGCAGAAATGGTCTCATTTCCCCAAAGAGAAGCATAATCAAGTTCTTAGATAGACAAAATTCAGAGAGTATTTCTGCTTCAGGGAAATCATCCAGCAAGGTGTGCTACTTAAAGAAACGTGGATGCAAGACAACCACCCTTCTTCTTCTGGCCCTCCTTGGAATGGCCTGAATCTCCAACAAATTTTCCTCAAAAAGCTCCATTAGGGATGTAGGGGAGAGCAATGCAATCTACAACTGGCAAATGAGGTTAGACTAGCCAAATGCTCATTAGATTTCCATGCCCTTCCCTTTCAGGTGTGATGACCAATGTCATCACTTATATCATTACTGCAGGCCTCGACCACTACTTAATTACACAATGAATTTATTTAATTATTTCCATCTGTTAAGTGAGTTTAATGCCTTTTCATATGGTATGTAACAAGGTTTTCAGCGGTTTGCTATAAATACCGCAAAATGGTATCATGAACTGACAACTTCAGGATCGCATTCGATATTTAGGGAAAGTGTGTTTGGATGCCTACTGTAAATACCACATGCGATCTGCTTTTTTGGATGGAGCCCAACATATTCTATTTCCCTCCAGGGTCCAGGGATTGATGTGAATATACCTATGCTAGCTTTTAAACCCTGTAATATGTTGACACTTTACAAATACAGGAAATTATAATTTTGGAAGTGTGAAATCATAACTTCTTTGCAAAATATAAAAAATGTCAGTCTTTGGCCATGTACCTTTCTCTCTATATACTGCTCATATTCTCCATACTTTAAATGGTATGACAAGTGGTCTCAGAGGTTGCCAAGGGGTCTAGTCCTGAATGCCCAGGTAATGGCTTTAATGCTGATCACAGACTCCAAAGGGAGACAGCAACGGCCAGGAAATACGTGAAAATATAAATTTTTATTGGATTTCTGAAATCATAAAATACTAGAACCGGCAGACACTTCCCGCTAGCATACAAAAATTAAAAATGTATAAGTTCTTTAGAAACATATAGACATGTTTGTTTAACCAGCTGAAATTATTACAACTATAAAGCACAATGGTAATATTGTTTTTATGATACTAGCACAGAGAACAATGCATTTTATAATGTGAGGAACTTAAAAAGTATGACGTATTGTATGCAATAGAAATCCTAACTTGTATCATTAACCAGTAACGATCTGAAATAAACACATTTTCCAACAGATTGCCTACTGCACTACAAATACTGAAAATGGATCATTTCCTTTTATAAGGAGGGAGTTTACTCTCTGAACAGAATATAAAAACATACTATATAAACAGTTGTTAATGGTACCTTAATATACTATATATATTGTGATATGGGGTGATTAGACTCAATGTGGTGAGCATTTTTTAAGTGAAACCACATCAATCTGAACTTCAGTTTTAAGAGCCTGGTAGCCCACTCTTATTTAAACAAAGGCAAAGCAAAGCTCATAAACAGATTTCCCACATAGGGGTCTCCTCCAACAAACAACAATGTAAAATGCTAGCCTACCTAGCTATGCCTTAGCAGCTCCACTGCTTTATTATTGGTCTTCCTGATCAAAGGTTTCTCAGGCTCCCTTAGCCATCCCTTAACCATCTTGCTGTATCGGCCCACGCCTGGCCTCCTGATAGGCATTTTCCAGCACTCTGGGTTCCCAAATACTTTTGTATGCCACCAATGCCACAAAAAAGCCCAGTTACAATGTGCCTGACAACACCTTGACATGCCTAACCAGGCCTTTTTGTGTCATTGATGCAGTAAAGGCTTCTTTCTGGCACCTCGACCATGCAGGTCATTTTTGTTCAAGTGTCATCATATTGTACTCCTTCAAAACAACCACATTGTCTTTTTCCAGAACAGCCTGTATTTTTCTTGTGGTTACCTATGGGTTTCCCTTTGTATCCTGAACAATTCTTCTGGCAATTGTGGCTGCAATCTTTCTTGGTCTACCTGACCTTGGCTTGGTATCAAGAGATCCCCAAACTTTCCACTTCTTAATAGGTGATTTAACAGTACTGATTGGCATATTCAAGGCTTTGGACATCTTTTTTTGTCCTTTTCCATCTTTTTAAAGTTCCATTACCTTGTTACGCAGTTTTGACAGCTCTTTTCTGATCCCCATGGCTCAGTATCTAGCCTAGTCAGTGCTTCCACATAAAAGCTAACAAACTCATTGACTATTTATACACTGACACTAATTGCAATTTAAAAAGCCACAGATGTGGGACATTAACCTCTAATTGGCATTTTGACCCGTGTGTGTCACCTTGTGTGTCTGTACCAAGGCCAAACATTCCAGGGGATGTAAACTTTTGATCATGGCCATTTGGGTGATTTCTGTTATCATTATGATTTAAAAAGGAGCCAAACAACTTTTTGATAATAAATGGCTT